CTGGTGTACTACTTGTGCATCATGGAATACTTTACAATATGCTCCATACTGTTGAGTTTAGCATACTGAGCTCTGTAAGTAAAACTACATAGTCTATTGCTACAATGATAATACATGCACACTCTAGAATCTCATCCTATTTGGATATATTCCGATTATTAAATTGTTTGCTACAAAGTACTCATTAAAAATATTAAATTAATTTCAACAATTAAATGCTTGAGGCATCATAAGCACAAACACACACCCACACTCACACACACACACACACACACACACACACACACACACACCATATATGTAAGATATACAGGTAAATGCATATTACTTCGATTTCATATATTGAAGTAAACATAGTTGCAAATAATATAGGAAAGTCTATCAGGATATTTGATTCCAGATGCATTTAGCTTTATTTGAACTGTCAAAATGGAGGTGGGGGAAGGATGCATTTTTGAAGTAGATTTTTTTTAAAAGCACTGCAATATTGAGCTTTGTAAGCCTCTTAGGCTGCCTTCCTAGAGAGCCCTGATGGGTTAGCTGAGAATTTAAACTGTGGCCCTTTTTATTGATTGCTTGATTATGTACTGTTAAGTTGATTTTGACTCCTACCAATCTTTTTCCTGATAAATCCTTCCCATATTTTTTTTGTTTAGGAAGGTTTTGTTTTGTTTTTCTCTTTAATGGAGTTCTGTTCTGGTGCCAAAATTAACACACTATTTTTTTGTCTTAGTTGGACTACTAAAGTTCTTGTCTAATATATTTCCTCCCCACACCTCCCCAGAGCAAGCCAAATTAGCTATTATATCATTAGCATGGCAATTCTCTTTTCTGGCATATTTTCAGCTAAAAGAACAATCACTTCCTTGTCTGTTGAAACAATGTGGAAATTTAGCATGCAAGAAAACATTCAGGGAAGCTAAATAGATGTTTTGGGTTCAAATCTTGGTATCTCTTCTCTTCTCTCCTCTCTTCTCCTCTCCCCTCTCTCTGTCCCTCTTTCCCCAATTTTTAAAATAAAGAACTTACAGGTAACAATGAATACTTCTGCTAGAAATGTTAGGCAATTATTTCCAATTAAGATAGACAACACTAGGTGGCAAATAAGCTTAACTGGTTTAATTCCTATATGTAGGCCATAGACACAGAGTATTCTGCTTTCAGAACAGGCCTTTATTACAACAATGACCTAATTTTCATCTGTGAATACTTGAAAAATAACTTCTGCCTTTTAATTTAAAAAATGCTTAAATACTTGGGAAATGAAAATCAGTAATAAAAGTTCAGGCCCCGGAAAAAGGCTGAAAATCCAGAGACCTATCCCTCCATCCCCCATCATCCAGGTACAACTGATGAAACTTTGTGGATGAGAAGCAAAACATCATCTTCTTCTTCCTCAAAAAACAGTCAGTTTCCTTTTGAAGAAAAAAAATCAGCTTTGAGATAACTATGACCTGGATTACTTCATAGACAGTAGACTGGAAATTCTACTCCTGTCTTGGACATGAAAGCTGACTGGATGACCTTGGGCCTATTACTCTTTCTTAGTCCAATCCACCTCACAGAATTGTTGTCATGGGAACACAGGAGAAACAGAAAGTATTATGTATATTTGCCTCCTTGTGTTACTTACAAAGTAATAGAGATGGGATAATAAAAAAAAAATCTGTTATTCTGAGAGAAAATAAAACTGAGATGGGGATGTTTGAATACAAAATGGAGAGGGGAATAAAAAATTGAAGTATGGGAACAGATGCCATTTACATATATCCTCTGTTGATATAGTTACTTCCAGAGGATATAGATATATGCAAATTCTTAACTAACTACCAAGTACCTATGTGGAGGATACTTTGAAAGTGACCAATTCAGAATATTGGTATGAAAATGAACCTATGTGAAATGTCTCTTCCCTAAAACACACTAGCTGATTAATCCACTATGCATCAAGTCCTCACAATGTCTTTAGTTTTGCATATAAGTAGCACTTGGCTTACAACAGTTCATTTAGGAAACATTTGAAGTTTAATGGCACTGAAAAAAGTGACTTATATACCATTTTTCACACTTGCAACCATTGCTGCACCCTCCCATAGTCATGTGATAAAAATTCAGGTGCTTGGAAGTGACTCATATTTATGACAGTTGCAGTGACATGGAATCATTTGATCACCTTTTGCAATCTTCTGACATGCAAAGCTAATGGGGAAGCTAGATTCACTTAATAGCTGTGTTACTAACAGTAACAACTGCAGTGATTCACTTAATAACTATGGCAAGAAAGATTGTAAAATGGAACAAAATTCACTTAACAAAAGTCTTACTTACCAACAAAATTTTGGGCTCAACTAAAGTCAAAGACTGTATCAGAGGTGGTATTCAGCAGGTTCTGATCAGTTCTGGAGAACCAGTAGCGGAAATTTTGAGTAGTTCAGAGAACCATCAAATACCACCTCTGACTGGAGATTTTACAGTATCCTCCTCCTGCCAGGTCCACCAAGCCACGCCCATAGAACGGTAGTAAAAAAATTTGAATCCCACCACTAGACTGTATGCTACATTTTGGTATAACTACAGTATACTTTCAGATGCTTTAGAGATGTGAGCAAAAGTATCTATGAGTTTCACTTTCACTTCCTGAGATGTTATCTCCTGATTTCTTTGTCCTAGCCTTCCTTTCTATGGGCATTGGGAGTCCAGCTGATAGACAGGCTGCTGAGAGCAACATTTATTTATGGATTTCTTTATTTATTTGCCGAAACTTCAATGCTGCACAGTTTCTGGCAGCTTACCCCCCCCTCCCAAAAAATGGGTAAAAACAAACTAACAAAAACCTAACTAAGATACCAAAAGTGGGCCATTCAAGAGGTTGCTGGGAATGTCAAACCAGTTGCTTATTGTCCTATTTAGTCAACTTGTTTTCCCATTGTTAACAGCAAGAGGAAGAATGACCAACTTGAACTAAATCCCTGAAAAGGAGGACAAAATTCTTTTCTTGCCCCCACCTGCATCCTTAAGACAAGTTATGTAGATTTATGCATCATATAACCATAAACAAGAGTGATCTGAGGTCAGTCTCGGGCAATTGATCTCTGAAAATAGATTAGATATGCATCATCCTCAAAAATGTATCCCTTCTTGAAGATTTTTCTTTGAGTTTTAGAAAAAATAAAGTTTTAGGAGATGCACGGTGTTTAGAATGTAGTATTTCAGGCTAACTCTGCCCATGGCCAGCAGTTTGATCCTGACTGACTCAAAGTTCATTCTTCCAAGGTCAGTAAAATAAGGAGCCAGATTGTTGGAGGTGGCAATATGCTGACTCTGTAAACCTCTTAGAGAGGGCTGTAAGCACTATTTTTTTTTTTTTACAAACCTGTAATCCCTTTTTTATCAGGGAGGGTCAGGGTAACTGAATGGAGCTGAGAATTTACTGTCCAGATACTCTTCCTGATGCCAATGTGGAGTTCACATACTCTTCCTGATGCCTATGTGGATTTCCCCTTTGCGCTCTCTTAGAAAAACAGCTGTCACTGTTTAGGATTGAAGTTTCAATCTCCCGAATGTGAGGCAAGCATCTTCACCTCTGACTGCACCAGTCATAATGTAAAGCACTATGAAGCAGTATATAAGTCTAAGTACTATCATTAGCACTAAATAGATTTAAGAATGAATACTCACTATTTATATTCCAAGGAACCATAGATTTGCAAAAAAAAAAAAAAAAACCATGTAAAAGAAGTAGATGAAGATGAAGAAAAAATAAAGATATATAGCTTAAGAATTAAGAATAGACAAGTTTCATGCAAAAAGTATGGAATTGGGTCCCCAACATACATGATGTCAAGGAATACATTTAAAGATCTAATATTGTAGGCTTATTTTTTAAAAAAGGTTTCAATCTTACTTGCTTAGGAATTCCAAAGTTGAATAATGCAGGATTATGTTCAGTGTATGGGGGGAAGGACAGAGATCAAGAGTCAATAGTTTTCCAATCATATAACTTGTCTTATTTTTCAGGTTTTTCATTCCAGACTTGTATTAAAGCTTCAAACAGGAACTCTGAGGTCTCTTGTGAGGGCTTTCTAGTCAATTTGAAAGAGAAGAGATGTTTCCTGTGGCATAATCAAAACAGCAATCCAGGTTTAAAAACAAAAAATTATAATGGTATGTAGAAAAGACCTTGAGAGATGACATGAAGAGATGCTGCCTAAGGAATAATCAGATAAGAAACAACATAGCTGGCAGCTGGATAGTTGGAAGGGCAAGAGACTCAGAAGGCATTCTCTAGTTTTTTGGGCTATCAAGGATATGGCAGGAGAAATTGATACTTAAAAAGACTCATTTAGCTTTCCCTTACATGCCTCAATCCTGTACTAAACATATCTTCATCCAGAACCTATCATGTTAAAGAATGATGTTGTAAATTAAATATTCTTTAACTATCATAGTCAACCAATGTGTTTATACCAGTAACAAAATTAAAAGGAAACACAAGGTTAATGTAGCATTATCCATGAGATTTCCTTGCTTATTCTTTTTAGTAGGGTCCATTGTTTTTATCACCAGATCATTCTTTTATAAATGTGTACTTAATGTTCTATTACTGAGGGCTATCAAATAACTCTATAACTGACATTGTGTCCAAACTCTTCTGATTCCAATATAAAATAAAAATTATTACAAAGTGTTTGAACCATTGATCCCTTAATTATTTCATATTTGATCTTGATCTCAGATAGAAAAAGTAAATACTTATTAATAAGAGTGAAAGAGATCAAAGAGATAAAGCTACCATCAGCATTAAAATCTCAGGGTTAAATGAGTTCAGATTATATTTCATCAGATTACATACTTTGCAGAAAAATATATTGCTGGAAGAAAGATTACTGAAATCACCATCCATAGTGGAAAGCAAAAACAAAAACTAAATTTTTATTATTACATTAACAACACATAATTGCTACATTTTAAATAATAGCAAAGGAAACTCTCAGTTTAACTCATTTCATTTTTCTATTCATCAATTGTTTCTTGTTGTTAAGGTTGGGCTTGAACGCGATAATATAATATTTGGGGGAAAAGATGCAGCCCAGCAAAGCACTAGAAGTTAAGATGGAGAAGATCTCCACAGCAACCATATACTTTCCTTTAGTGCTCAGATAAGTTGGAACAAAAGATATCCAAACACTGCAGAAGACCAACATGCTGAAAGTAATGAACTTGGCTTCATTGAAAGTATCTGGTAACTTTCTAGCTAAGAAAGCAACAATGAAACTAATAAAGGCTAAGAAGCCCATGTAAATCAGAACACAATAGAATATTATCTCAGATCCCTGGTTACACCGTAGAATACTTTCTTCAACCATTGAATGCATGTCTAAATCTGGGAATGGGGGAGATATTGCCAGCCACAACATACAAATTACCGTTTCAATAAGAGAGCAGGAAATGACCATGGAGTTGGCAAGTCTCTTTCCCACAAACATTTTCATTCTGGAACCTGGTTTGGTGGCCAAGAAAGCCAAAACCACTTTGACTGTTTTTGCCAACACTGAAGAAACAGCCATGGAGAAGGAGATGCCAAAAGCAGCTTGTCGGAGAAGACATATCACCTTTTTGGGCCGACCAATAAATAAAAATGTAGAAAGGAAGCAGAGCAGGAGAGAGATGAGGAGAATGTAGGTTAGGTCTCGGTTATTGGCTATAATAATGGGAGTGTTGTGGTTCTTCATAAAAATTACAAGCACCATAACTGACACCAAGGAAAAGAAAAATGCAAAGAAAGCTAAACTAATCCCCAAAGGTTCTCCATAAGAAAAAAATATGATAATTTTAGATTTGCAACTATCCTGATTTCTGTTTGGATAGCTTCCATCTTTACAAGCATAGCATTCATTGCTATCTGGAAAAGAAAAAGAAAAGAAGAAGTAGACAATGAGTTCTTCATCATAGGAACTTTTCCAGAACACACTGTATATTTCAGCAATAGACAGCTAGATACTGTATGGGGGGGGAATGTTATCCATAATATATAGTGTATATTCCTTATGCATTTACATATATAATAAATAATATATAGTAATTATACATATGTCTGTGCACATTTGTATATGTAAAACAGTTTTATTATTATTATTATTATTATTATTATTATTATTATTATTATTATTAGTAGTAGTAGTAGTAGTAGTAGTAGTGGTGGTGGTGGTAGTAGTAGTACTAGTAACAACAACAACAACAACGACAACTGGAGCATCACTTGAACACTATTGGTATTGACAAATATGCCATCGGACAATTGCAGAAGGCGGCTTACGATATCTGTAACACCATCAAACATCCAAATATGCCTATTCCAGGTCCTTGGTAAGGACTCGATAGATAGACAAAAATGCCAAACATCTGGCTGACTGTGCAGTGATTAACAATAACAATAACAACAACAATAACAACAACAATAATAATAACAATAACAACCATCATCATCATCATATAAGTGACAATACATGATTCAAATTTCATGCCAGATTGAATGTTGCCCAGATTAACAAGAGTCACATTGGATATGATGTCTTCTGATCATTCAATGGAAAATGTGCTATAGGGCTCAGTTCCTTCTGTAAGGCAACCAGGGCATGGAGATGATATGGAGCATGGAAACTATTGGAAGGCTATTGAAATGATAAATTTGGTCAAAGGAAGAAAAATATTTAATTTTGGAATCCTTCCCACCAATCAAAACCACTGAAGTGAGGATTTTAAAATTAAATGTACCAGCTTTGGAAAGAAAGACATCTGGATTTACAATTAATGGACAGAGACTGAGAGTCCAAGGTTTTCAATTTTGAAATAAAGGTTCTTTGGCTAGAAAATTGGAAAACAAAATTCAGATTTATTTAGAATTGTCCTTAAAATTAGTTTGCCCCCATTTTTCTTGCTGAATCCAAGCAGCACATTTCTTACCTTCCTTCTCTGAAATCTTGCCCTCAGGTCAAGGGACACAATCATAGCAGCAAAAGGGTTCCCCTTCCTTCACCTTCTTGCTGGAACCAGGACAACAACTGTCACTGCATGCGGAAAGAGGCTGAGACTAATTTATAAATAAGAAAAAAGAATGGCAATCTTGAGTGTTTGGCTTTGATATATCTTTTGAGATATTTTTTATTAATGTTCTCAATTTCATGCACTTTAATAGGTGCTAGTATTTTTATTTAGCATAGCATAGCATAGCATAGCATAGCATAGCATAGCATAGCATAGCATAGCATAGAACAGAATAAATTCTTTATTGACCAAGTGTGATTGGACACACAAGCAATTTGTCTCAGGTGCATAAACTTCCAGTGTACATGTCATGTCTACCAGTCTCTGGGGGACAGGTAGAACAGCTGACTGGGAGTGGGAGTGTAGCTCCAGTGGTTGTGGAGGAAACTGGGGAAGGGCACAGGCCAGATGGGCATTCAGAGGAAGACCCAGGCTCATTCCCTCTTCATCCTAGGGCACACAGGGAGGAGTGGATAAGGGAGAAACGTGAGTGCCATGGTCTATGGGGGAGGAAAGGGCCCTGATCCCCTTCATAGGCTGCAGTTGGGAGGACTGTTTAAAAGGACATGGCAAAATTGCTGGAAGCAAAGCATGCATTATTCTTGTCAAAGTTTATCTGGGTTTTCGCTTCCTCCCAACTGTAGTTGCTGCGTTATCTGGTGGAAATCTGAAATTTATCATCCTGGCCTGCTGTATTAATTACTTCAGTGTGGTTTGTGTTGGGTGTTTTTTTTATTTCTAATTATCTTTACTTTGGGTTTGGATTGCATTTACTCCCTCTATAGCCTGTTTTTTTTTTTAAGAGTTTGATATCCAGCTGAGGATAATTGGACATTGGGGCCAAATTGGAGGCCGTGAAAGGGAATTTATTCTATTTTTGTGATGTTGTTATTTTTGTGTCATGCCCTGGGTCATCACAGTACATATAAGCAATACATGATAAATCATGATCATAATCATAAAATATAATCATCAGAAAAAGTTTTGTCACATAGACAAATAAATATTGAATTATTATTATTATTATTATTATTATTATTATTATTATTATTATTATGGTTTGTTGCACAGTCAACCAGATGTTCCATCTGGATTTGGCAATTTTGTCTGTCTACCAAGTCCTTCCCAAGGACATAGGAAAAGAAAGATGTGGATATTTTATGGTGTTACAGATATTTTCACAGTATGTAAACTGTTTCAAGTAAAGTTTTCTTTTACAACTGACTAATGTAATTTTGTGAATGCCGAGGTAGTGCAGGTGTTTTGGGATTGCACCAAGGTGCCTATTGCTATTACTACTGTCTTTGATTTCTTTTGTTATGGTCATTTTCAGGTCTCTGTATTCTATTGTCTTTTAAGGTTATTGGCACGTGATCAAAGATTTCATGTCCAGTGAAGAAGCAGAAGCTTTCCAAAATGCTTTGACTTTGAATCTTACCTGGTTAAACCAGCTGTGCCATGCTATGGTGTCATCGTTAATGGTGAAACTTTGACCCATGAGAACTCCAGAATCTACCTTCCCAACTTTCACTCTTACAAAGGATTGGTTTGAAAAAACAATCCAGTTAATTACATCCAGACCAGCTAGTAGTTCTCTATGGGAATCAAGAGAAATCATATCCTCAGCACTGTTATTAAATGAAAGACCTTTCAGGAAGTGATGCACCTAGAATAAAAATGGAAAGGCAGAGTTTTAAAAAGATATACTTGTATCTTGTATAAGTAGAAAAATGTCTAGTAGGCCAAGGAGGAATATGGAACCTATAACTCAATTGTAATAAAATTTCCTGTTGACAGGAAACAGGAATGAAAGATGGTTTACAACTTCCTTTAGAATATGTTACCTGTGGATGCTCTTATTATTTATAAGAGCATTGTAAATTAACTGATTACCTGAGGATATTGTTATTATTTACCTGCCAGGCATCTTGATTGAGAATGTTCAAATGCCCCTCATCTATTGCTTTTCCATGTCTAAATCTGGATGACAACATGGCATGTAAAGCATAGGCCACCGGATAGACAGAATTATAGATGCTGTAACTGTGACCAATCATGCTCATTTCAAAAACAATTTTAGGAAGGTTTTCGATATTCTGTCCCCCAATGCAGAGATCTCCAACCACCTTCTCAAGTAGGGAAGTTTGAAATATACAATTGAAAGCTTGTTGCCAAAAGTCTATGATAAAATCATCTGCTTTTGGATTAAGATGATTTTTGTTTTCAAGAAAAGATTTGAATCCTGGGGGGTTGTTGCTGTGAATTGTGAAGGACAGAGCACCATGGATTATTTGTGTATCCCAGTCCTTTTGATAGACAATTGATGCAAGTTCTGCTTGAGAATTCAATATCCATACTTTTCCTTTTGTTACATCTCTATCATGTTCTTTGTTTGAAAGATATGGCAACCATCTCAGGAAAACCAAAGCATTGGACTCACCATAGATAATAATAACATTGCTTTTAGTTGTCATGATTTTATCATGTATTTTTGCCCCTTGTTTAAATACAGAAACCAAACCATTAATGGAATGTAGATAGACAATTCTTTCTATGAATGTAAAGCAAATACAATGCTTAGAAAATAATGGAATCATCCTATCTAGAACGCGTTCTCCATTATCATTATCCATCACAGTAATGCCAATCCATGTCCAGTTGAAATGGAGCAGCAAAGATAGAATCCCATCACATTGAAGTCTTTCCATAGGGCTCATTTGGAAGAAGGAAAGATCTGGGGTTTTGTAATCCATGACTGGAACAGAGCCATAGATGAGTTAAAGCACATTTAAGGGAAAGAGAGAGAGATGGGAAAAAGAGAGGAGGGAGAGAAAATCTGTTTTACAAATTAAAAAAAATATTGATGATCCAGAGAAGTAAGAAATGCTATTGTGCTCCAATACTTATACATAGTCTGAAGCTGATATACTCTACCTGTGGAATCTTGTAAATATCCAAGAGATTTGCAAAGTTAATGGAAGTTTTGGAGTCTAGTCCCCCGATCACTGCTTTCAGATTATTCTGGATGCCACAAATGTAGTTAGGAACAAAACTCTTCAAGTTGTAAAGCAGTAACATTGTGGCATGGTAAGTCTTCTGTGCACTGAAGTGGCTGTCATAGAAACCCAAAGTGACATATGGTAAGAGATAAGGGTTTTCATTGATCTCTTTCACTGCAAATACCAAGGCCAGGATGAGTTGGTAATTCTTCAGCACTAAACTACAATAGAAAATAGATTCTGTGAAAATATCCCTGAAAAGAAAAGCACCAAAATGAATCCAGCTCTTTCTCTTCCTTATAATTGCCTTTTTATATTCCTCATTTCTCCTTTATGATTATTGGTTTACTTACTCAAAAAGTTATGTCAACATAAAAAGTTATATCTTTTATTTTCAGAAATTATCTATTAGAAAAGTTGCAGATTCCACATACAGCTTTTTAATATTAGATAAATGTGATCTATTTTTTATTTCTTGTGGGTTTTGATGTTTTAATACACTTTCTCATGCCCCATTGTTTTAACTCCGGACAGACTTCTACAATTCTTAAGACAGTTTCTAAATACAGCAAATCAGTAGAAGACATCAATACAATAAATAGTCATATACATAATTTTTATTAAATAATATATTATATATAAAACAGAATTTTAGGAGGTTAAATGGTATCTTTGAAGAAATAAGTATAAGTTTAGAAGAAAAGAATCTCTAAAGAAAAGAAGCAAGTTTTTGTCCCATCTAACAATCTAGAATCGGGAATACGTGCTAATCAGGGGTGGGATTCAAATTTTTTAACAACTGGTTCTGTGGGTGTGGCTTAGTTGTTGGGCATGGCTTGGTGGTCATGTGACTGAGTGG